TCCTTCTGGAGTCAGTTGGCACCTGGTTTTCTAGGCAAGGATTTGCCCTCACTCTCAGGACATGGGGCCGGAATCTTGGACATTGACTGGCAAGAAAAGGAGACTCAACATTTCTTTAAAGTTTAGCTTGTTATTCAGGGCTGGTTGATTTTACCTACAGCTCTCTCCTGTTCCTTCGCTGCCCTCCTGTTTTGAAGAAGACAATTGGAATTCTCTCCAGAAGGAAGAAACTAAGTTGCTGGTGGACCACATTGTGGTGGTTCTTTGCTCCCGGAAGGAGGAAACACGACCATCTGCCGCCCTCTGCTGTTCAAATAAAAGCAGATTCCCAAGCCCTGTCTGTAGCAGCTTCGTCCCCTTGGGTTTGCGTCTCCCAGAGAGAGAACATATGCTTTTTGTACAAGTGTCATCTTGCCTCAACATCCATTCTGATTCCAGCTCCCTGCTCTCTTCCATCTACCACTCTCTGCGGACACTCAAACTGTTTCTAAAGAAGGAAAACATTAGGCTTCAAGAAATATGTGTTAGCTTATGATTACCCCTTCCAGCCCCGGGCGGGGGTATCTCAGGTCTCGGCACACACCAACAATGATCATTAGACAAGGTGGTCAGGAGGCCTAGATTCTAGTCTTCTAATTGGGTAAGTTAATTTGATTGGACACATACCTGGCCTTCTGCTATGTTCAAGATGCTATGTTAAGCAGCATGGCTTAATGGTGCATAAAACATAGAAAAGGGTTACTATCTTCAAAGGGTTCGTGAGTCTGGTATGGTAATAGCATGCAGGGAAGATGTTGTGATAGACAGAAGCACGGGAGCAGAGCACTAGGTACCAACCTCGGGAAGAGCAGGGAGGAGGAAAAGATCGCTATCACCTCTCAGGCATGAACTGACTGATGAGATTCCAGACCAAGTCCCATACCAAATGATGGAAATAGGAAAACACTTCCAAGTTCATGGCAAGACATTTTCTCAACTCCCACCAAATTAGGACCCCACCCCTTGATTGACTGATTAATTCGACAAATACCAATTGAGCCCTTATGTGCCAGGGATTGTGCTAGGCTCCAAGGCAACAACAGTGAGCAAGCTTCTTGCCCACGTGGGCCTTGTAGTTCCCAGGGAACCACAGACAAATGCCTAGGCTGTTCCACTGCAGTGTGAGGTGGCCCTCTTCCAGTCCATAACCCAACTTGCTTCAAAGTAGAAAGAGGAAAAATGAGGGAGGAATCTTCCATGGATGTCACCCAGAGTCAAAGTTAGAAAAAGCATTAGCATGGACTTCAGCTGGGCTCTTGGTCCTTGCTAGAGGAGTTCAAAGGGGAGAACTAGGTAGCAATGGGATGAAGAGCAAGGTTGGGGAGCAAAGGTAGGGAGGCAGGGCTTTGACATCAAGAACAAAGTGTCACAATGCTTTTCCAAGGCCATGCCTGTGCACGGATGGTGGAAGGAGCACTGTGTGACCTTACACGAACTTCCCTGTCCCATCTGGAAATGGGAACAAATAACACCTGCTTGGTACATCCTCCCAGAGTTTAGGATGAGTGAATGAAGGAGTCTGTGAGTGGTTTATGCCAACTACGTGATATTACACAAACCACTGGTGTTATTGCCATTATTGGCAGTGCTTGGGCCGGCCAACAGAGGAATGAAGACTGATGCCTTCCACGGGCCCCTTCCAGGTAGAGAACCTACAAGTAGCCTTGTTGGCAACCTTTCTCTCCAAATTCCCACTAAGTCTACCTCCAAATTAGGAAGATTTGCTTTTTAAATAATGTATGTGTTTGATAATATCCTGAATGCAGTGGGGAGTGATGGGAAAGAGGACTAAGTCAAGAAATTCCCTCAGCATCAGTTTGTTTTATAGAATAGAATTACTACCACAGCGCAGATTTATGAAACCCCACTTAAAATGTTACAATGAAGGAATGGGCCATTTGTCTCTTCCATATGTCATTTGTCTCCTCCCTGTCCCTCCCTGCATGTAATCCCTGTCTGACTCCCTTGTGGTTTCCCATTGGGATGGGAAGTTCAGACCACTGGACAAAGCTGGTAACATTCCCAGATCGTTTCTACCCTGAAGTCCTGACAGGGAAGGTGGAGCGAGGGAGAAGACAGAGCTCTGTGTCTGTTGGAGGCTGGTCAGCCAGGCACCATCCTGGAAGCTGTGCAGAGGTCACTGAATTCCACCTTCCCCACCAGACTTTCGGCCCAAAGAGGGTGCTGAGCATGTTGCTGAGGGCCACAACCAAAGACCAGCTCAATAAATCTTTATCGGAACAAATCAGCCCTTGCATCAAACAAGCTTTCCGGTGGGCACCATTATCCCCAATTTCCAGCTAAAACTAAGGCCTAAGAGGCTTAACAATGTTGTCCAAGGCAAGAGAGTGTGTCTGGCTTGGGGTCTGGATACTATGTGCTCTGTCTGCTCCTGGAGTTTATATTCGCTCCTGAGTGGAATGCCGCTGAGAACCTCCTCTCTCAGAGGCAATGGATTTTCTTGTTTTTATTTATCATTCCCCAAAAGTTTGTTTTCCATCTGTGTTTGAAAACAGGCTCTGATCAAATATTATTAGTAATATACCCTGAAGTCATTATTTTATAGATTACATGGACCTAGTTCCAGATTCTGTTTATGAATTCTTGGAAGAACCGGAATGAGGACAAAGGTCAAATACTCATTCAACCAACATGTATAAAATGCCCATTTCGCAGCAGAAGCCAGGCTAGGGGCCAGAGGTCCAAGAAAAATAACATCCTCTGGTCCTTAAGGAACTTACAGTCCAGTAGCACTGTGTTCTTTTCTCCTTTGAAAAAGATTATTAAAAAAAGTGAAACATATGGACTGCAGGATATTTGGAAAGCCCAGGTAAGAAGAGAAAGAAAAAAATCATCCGAAATTCAGACATCTTATAAATCCTGAGGCTGGGGCCTCCATCCTAGCATTTCTGGATCAGTAAAATCTTGCACCAGCCTGGAGGAGGAGACAATGTTTTTTGAACTGGAGAAAAGCCACCGTTGATCTCGCCACCCTGTGAGAAGCCACGATAACATTTAGAAAATATTCTTCATCTCCTTTTCTCGGACTGTGAAATGACTGGTGCAGATATCGTTCTCTCTGCCTCACCTAAGCCGGGGGAGACCTTTGTGGACCCCTCAGCACCTTGCCCACCCTGTGCCCAGGCTGTTCCCCTGCCACAGCCCCATGTCTCCTCATAAAGAGGGGAGGTCTCTTGGGTGGGGTAAAGCAGCTTTTACCAAATGCCCCCACATCTCCCTGCCCCACCCCAAAAAAGCCTCAGGGGCAGGGAGTTGGTTTCCAAAACCAGTTCCTTTGGATAGAGGGGGCTTTCAGCGGCTTTCCTCAAACTAGGGCGCACATTGACTCCCCCAAAGCAGCTTTCGAAAAACCCGATGCCTGGCCCCACTTCACACCAACTAAAAGAATCTCTAGGCCTGAGGTCCAGGCATTGATTTTTTGTGTTTTTAAAGCTGCCAGGGTAAAGGATTGAGAACCACTGATTTAAAGGAAGGCGGGGCAGTGGTGTACGTGGCCTTTGAGACTGGCAGAGGGCGCTGCAGTGGTCAGTCTCAAGACTGGGCAGCCCCAGGACTTGGCATGGAGAGAACTTTCCGCAGCTCACTTCAGGAAAGAGCTGGGTGCTGTATGTGGGTAGCTGGTTGGCAAAGGGGGAAAATAGCAACTTTGTTCCAAAGGGCTCACATGGATCCTGATTAAGGGTGTTCACATACGCCAGACAGAAACCGTGTTCACATACGCCAGGAGTAACTATGGGGAGATAAGTACGAATGCCACAATGGGCCATTGGTAAGGCAGGTGAGCTCTCTGGCTTCATTTATGAGGGAGAGAAGAATTTTACACCTTAAACTCTGAGAGAAAAGCCACTGTAACAGTAGGCTGCTTCGCAGAAGGAGGATGACTAGAATTAGATCATCTTTCTTTCCTTAAGCAGAAATACTGAATACTTGCTATTTGTCAGGCATTGTGCCAAGCACTTGACCAAGACTACTCATTTCATCTTTGCAATAACATTTCGTAGTGCGTATTAGTTATCCCCATTTTATAGGGAAGGAAATTGATGTAATAAATCTTAAGTGATTATCACATGAAACAAAGGAGATGAGCCCCAGGCTTTCTGACTCCGAAACCCATGTTTCATTCACCCTGCCAAGCTTTATAACCTGCACTCACGTGATTAGAGGGAAAACAAGATGAATGAAAATCAAGAAGGGGTGACTTTTCAGCATGGCTAGTTGGCCGGGAGTCCATCTTCTGTGAAGATCTGTGGGGTCACAAGGGGGCCTTTCCAGTGTGTCTTTGCCAACCAGCCATGTGAAGGTCAGGTCACTTCATTGTGTTCTCAGCTAGACAAAGCCAAAAGGGCTAGTACCCCTAGGTGATTTTCAAGCTGCCCTATGCTGGGGACAGGATGGATGGGCATGACCTTCCCTTTGCCCCACAACCAGACAAGCTCTGCATGCAGCTGCTTGAAGAGGCCCTTCCCCTGTTTGGGGTGAGGGGGCTGCCTCTGGAAGAGTATTCCAGTCTGATACAACTCTGCTGCTCTGTTTTTGAAAACCTGTGAGGCTGGGAAGACCCAGTGCCAACTCATAGCTCGAGTGCAGAAGGAAGCGGGCAGGGAGCATGGCTTTTATGCATTTGACAGGGAGGACGAGCCCCTGGGGAAGTGAAACGCAGGAGAAAGGGGCCGGCTAAAGCCAGCAGAGCTTGCAGTCATGATACACCTGTGTGGGGCCCTGGGCCACCCAGAGGAACGTGAAGAACTAGAGCAGAGAGGAGAGGAGAAAAGGTGCCCAGGGTTGTTCCTGCGATGCTGACACGGTCGCAAGCAAGAGAGCCTGGCCTCCAGGCCTCGTCTCCCTAAACTGTACTTCCTTTACTCAAGACGGTGGAAGTCTCCTGTTCTCCATTAGTAGCTTAGGATTTAAGCAACTTTCTGTTTCTTTGTGTTTTTCAGATCTTAAATCCAAATTTCATCCAAGAAGGTGAGTTACAAAGTCGAATGGAGAACATGGGGACTGGCTCAATAAATTGTGGCAGATCCAGCCGTTGAGGGAGAGGCGGAAAATAATGGAGATGTGGTTCTGTGCTATGGACAAGGAAAGGCGTGCATGATACACTGTGGGAGTGGAAAAGGCCACAACTTGCGTTATGTGTAATTTGTGTAAGAAAAACGGTGTTGGTGAAAGCCCAAAGGATGTAGACCAAGACATTCGCAGTAGTTACCTCTGTATCAGGACATCACGGAGACTTTTCCTCTTTTTACTTATCTGTATTTCCTGATTTTCTGCAGTAAACATTTCTTACTTTTAAAACCCTTCTTCATGGAACACGGATGACTTGACAGTATTAAGCTGAAGGTCATTTGAATCACTACACGTGCGTGGGCAGGGGAGAATGATGTAAAACGGCTGTTTATTGTGTTTGTTCTAAATGATGCTTTACGTCCATCTGACCACAGTGGCCCCAGAATTCCTTGTGCCCTTAGTGGATGTGACCTGCTTGCTTGGGGACACAGTGACACTGCAGTGCAAAGTCTGTGGGCGGCCAAAGCCCACCATCACCTGGAAGGGGCCAGACCAGAACATCCTTGACACAGACAACAGCTCGGCCACATATACCGTCTCCTCCTGGTAAGCTCCACAGAGACACCGCCAGCACCTTGGTTCTTTAGCCTCTGGGGGCAGGGGGGGTTGGGTGCCCTGGAGCTTATTCTCGCCCAAATACTTGGCCTCGATGAGGAGAGAAATGGAGTCAACATCCATGGGCAGCTCAGGAAAGCGTGCTCTCACACTATGGTATGCCAGGGCTGGGAGCTGTAGGACAGCCCCCACTGCTCCCTGCCAGGAGCAGGTCAGACACAGAGGGGAGGGGTGCCCAGCACGTGGTCACGTGCTACTGAGCAGCACATAGACATACCTGCACCTGCAAGGACAGTTTGGCAAGACTGCATTCTGGACCCACACTCAACAAATAAAAACATACCCCTCTATATCTTGGGTTAGGCATGAGTCGTACTTTCAAAGAGCTTTGACAGTCACCGACTTACATCCGCCGGACTGGCTGATCTTTCCCCAAGGATCCCCAAGAGAATCTCTGTGTCAACAGTAGTGGCAAAGGCTCCAGCCCCCTGGAAGGAATGTGGGTCTCACCTCCCAACATCCTGGTGTTTCTTTGTGCCCGTCAGGATCCTGAGAAACAGTGATCTGTTGAATTCCTCCATTAACCTAAGAACAGTTTTCTTAGAAGAAAAAAAAAAAAAAAGACTTTCTCCAAAATATGCAATGTTAAACAGAAAATCCAGCCATACACATGCTTCCACAAAGAAAGCCTATTTAAAAAAAAAAACTTGGTTGACTGCCTCCTAATCATTCTGTTAGTATTTATTGTGTACTGCTGTTTACAGTGGATAAGCAATAATGAGCCCTTAAGTGCTTAAGCATTTATCAAAGAATAACCTAGAATCAAACTCCCATCCATTAACTTAATTTTCGTGCATATGAAATGGTATTCCCCGCAATGATGGCCAGGGATGACCAGGTCCTGAGGTTAGCAGGCCCATGGAACTTAGTGGGGGAGTCAGTGTTTGGCTTCGTCTGTTTCCTTAGGGGGTTGGCATTGGGGTTGACTTGACTGCTGTGTGTCATCCTTTCTGAGCATTTAGTGGCGGAATTTGACCTTTACTTAATTCACGTAATTTTTTTTTAAAGATTTATTTATGTGACAGAGAGAGACACAGCGAGAGAGGGAACACAAGCAGGGGGAGTAGGAGAGGAAGAGTGAGAAGCAGGCTTCCTGCTGAGCAGAGAGCCTGACTTGGGGCTCGATCCCTGGACCCTGGGATCATGACCTGAGCTGAAAGCAGACACTTAACGTCTGGGCCACCTAGGCACCCCTCATGTAATTGTTTTGAGGGTCCCCTAGTAGAATTTGAAATACTTAAACATTTCATTCTCAGTCGTTTCATTTTCCTTTTTTTTGTTTGTTTATTAAATCTTTTTATTTTTTTTTAAGATTTTATTTATTTATTTGACAGAGAAAGATCACAAGTAGACAGAGAGGCAGGCAGAGAGAGAGAGGGAAGCAGGCTCCCCGCTGAGCAGAGAGCCCGATGCGGGACTCGATCCCAGGACCCTGAGATCATGACCCGAGCCGAAGGCAGAGGCTTAACCCACTGAGCCACCCAGGCGCCCTATTAAATCTTTTTAAAAAGATTTTATTTCCTTGAGAGAGAGAGAACAAGTAAGAGAGAGAGTAGGAGTCAGTGTGGAGAGGGGCAGAGAAAGAGGGGGAAGCAGGCTCCCTACTGAACAGACAGCCTGATGTGGAGCTCGATCCCAGGACCCTGAGATCATGACCTGAGCCAAAGGCAGAGGCTTAGCCGACTGAGCCACCCAGGCATCCCTTCTTTTTTTTTTTTTAAGATTTATCTATCTATTTGAGAGAGAGAGAGAGAGAGAGTGCGAGCGTGGGGGATTGGGGCAGAGGGAGAGACAGAGAAAATCCCAAGCAGATTCCATGCAGAGGATGGAGCCCCACTTGGGGCTCAATCCCAGGACCCCAAGATCACTATCTGAGCTAAAACCAAGAGTCAAACACTTAACCCACTGTGCCACCCAGGTGCCCTTCCCTTTTCTTATACAGTGTGTTATCGATGTTTGAGACTGAAAAATTTTAGGACAAAAATGCTAGTGGTAATAATACCAGTAATATTGTATAAGACTTTATATATTTCAGACCATATTCTTTTTTTAAAATTTTATTATTTTTTATTTTTTATAAACATATATTTTTATCCCCAGGGGTACAGGTCTGTGAATCATCAGGTTTACACACTTCATAGCACTCACCATAGCACATACCCTCCCCAATGTCCATAACCCCACCCCCCTCTCCCAACCCCCCTCCCCCCAGCAACCCTCATCTAATTCTTATCTCGTTTTACTCCTTTTCTATCCCTCTGCCCTTTATACAACACACATGAGAGATGCGAGTGGCAAGAATGTCCCCCCATAAAGAAATAGGAATATAGAAAGACAAGGTGACCACCCAAGGTGTGTAGGGAAGTCCCAGAGCTGGGATGAGACCTTGGGCCTGAGGATTCAGCTCAGCATCCCGCATGCCCACCCTCTGGGATTTTACCCATCAGTCAATTGTGTCATTACTAGAGTCTAAAGAGCATCCTTTTGGTGTCCCTAGTGATTCAGGGGAAATCACCTTGAAGATCTGCAATCTGATGCCCCAAGACAGTGGGATTTATACCTGCATAGCAACAAATGACCATGGCACCACATCCACGTCTGCTACAGTTAAAGTGCAAGGTACAGGCTCTCTGTTCATCCAACACCTTCTATAATTTTAAAATATTTTTATTACGGTAAAATATACATAACATTTTTCATCCTAACCAATGTTAAATGTACCTTCTGTAGTGTTGAATACATTCTTATGTTTGTGCGACCGATCTCCAGAATTCTTTTCATCTTGCAAAACTAAATCCTATAACCATTAAACAGCAGCTCCCCTCCCTGCCCCCGCTGCCCCTGGCAGCCACTGTTCTACTTCCGGTCTCTATGAATTTATGTGTGTCAGATATTTTAAGTGGACATTACAAGGGCTCCCTGAGACCTGGGGAAGAAAAGGTCCATTGTGAAATCCCAAAGTCCAGCAAAGGGGAGAGAAGGAATCTTCCCTAAGGGCTATCTGTGGCCCGCCATAACTTCCTGCATGCTTTCCCGGTCAGCCTAATCCCCAGCGTGCAGTCTTTAGCCCGAGGAAGAACTTCTAACCCCAAAGCATATCTGCCAGGCCTCTCCAGGGCCTGGAGAAAGGTATGCCATTGGGTGGAAAGGGCGTAGGAAATAATTGAGACATGGGGAAGCATGTTTCCTAGGAAACATCCAACCTTGGTGCAAAATGTCAAGTTGCGCAGAAAGAGGACTTGACCATAACTTCCGTCTCTGAAGGTGTTCCGGCGGCCCCTAACCGCCCCATTGCCCAGGAGAGAAGCTGCACCTCCGTGATCCTCCGCTGGCTGCCTCCCTCCAGCACGGGAAACTGCACGATTTCTGGTTACACCGTGGAGTACAGAGAGGAAGGTGAGCTGGCTCCCCCCTGCTCTTCCCTTTCTTTCTCCCCTTCCTCCAAAGGGGAGGTCCTTCAGAGTCATAAACTACTTGCCTTCAAGCTTTTCATCAGGTGTTCCTTCTTGTGTCTTCCAATTCAGCATAAACACCTCCTGGCAGACTACAGCTGCCTTCTGACCTCTAACTTCGAGCAGTGGTTTTCGCCAAACTGATAATGACTCCTGGTAGATTTCAAAGTGCCTTCCTGGGCACTTCTGTCCTTAATAAGCCCTATCCCCCAGACGGGCAATCAGGCCCCTCTTACAGATGAGGAGGCTAGGGCCCGAAGAAAGTTAAGGAACCCGAGGCAGGAGTTGGTAAGAGGCAAGGCTGGCATTAAACCCAGGTGTCAAGTTCGCGAATCCGTACTCTTTCTCCCAGAGTGATAACCAGCGTAGCGTGAGCAGAGCCTGACCCGCACCCCCACACAAAATTTAGAGACCACATATATAGAGATCGCATATACCTTTTGTGTGATCTCTAAACTTTACGTATATACAGACATGTGTATAATGATTTTTAAAAGCTGTTCATTTTTTTAATTCATTGCATGTACGTGCTGAGGGTGCATACATTAGTTCAGCAGTCAGAAACACCTGAACCTGCCACCGGTTATCCAGAAGAATTAGTTACACAAGAAGCTGCCCGCTAGCTCTAGTTGCTCATCTCTGAACCACGTAATGCATTACACAGCTGAATTTCCAGCCGCCGTTCGTGCCCAGAACCAAAATCATTTGTTGTGCCCGCTGTCGCTTGCAGTATCTCAGCTCTTCCTCCTTCTACCCAACAGGCCCCGTGCAGTTCCGAAACTGCTTACTTTGGCCTCTCCGGGAAGCTGTTCACTCTCGGGTCCCCATCCTCGGCACAGACGTGTTTGAGCTGAGCTGGGGATGCGGCTCACCAAGCTAGTCCCGCCCCCGCCCCCGCCCAGTTCGGTCCTTAGCTCTTATTTATGCCGTTCTCAGGAGAAGATCATCTCATCGTTCTGAGCCTCCGTTTCTCATGTTCCCGACCCCGCAGGGTGTCGGGGATTTCGGTGTGAAAGGGAAACTAGAGAGTTGCCTGGCACGGTACTTGACGTGCGTGGAGGGCTCAGTGCCTGTTCACTTCTAGTTTGTTTCCACTTCCAAATACATATTTCCTCTCATCTTGTGATTTATAATATATTTTTAGGCCTTATTAAAAAGTTGCCGCAGGGTCCCCTGTAAATTCTGCACGCTCTCCGTCTTCTCACTCTCACGCGTGCTTTCACACCCCTCAGGACCTAGTCAGTCATTTGCTACAGGTGGCCCACAGGCTTTCAGAGCCCAATCAGTAACCACAGCTTCATTGAATGGAAACGAGTCAACTTCCCCTTCTTTGTTTGCTGAAGGTCTTTGAAACAATATCTCTCTGGCTTTTTTCTCTCCCTCTCCTCCAAAATCGTGCACTAGGTTCCCAGGCCTGGCAGCAGTCCGTGGCTTCGACCTTGGACACTTACCTCGTCATCGAAGACCTCAGTCCTGGGAGTCCTTATCAGTTCCGAGTCAGCGCCAGCAATCCCTGGGGAATCAGCCTTCCCAGCGAGCCCTCGGAGTTTGTGCGACTCCCCGAGTACGGTGAGTCCCGGCCTTTCCCTGCACCCCAGGCGGGGGAGGCCAGGCACCCAGGCGGCTCACCCAGTCACGGGTGCCAGCTGGCCATTGGCATGGCAGGCCACCAGGCGGAGGGAACCTGGATTTGCCAGTGGCTTCAGTCAAGTAACATTTCAGAGACCTGAAGAAAAGTGTGATTTCAACCGTCTTGAAGCAAAAGTGAGGTCAGCCACCCGTGTTTACCTGGGGCCAGCCAGGGTCCCTGGGCCCCCGCATGTGTCCCCAGGAACAGAGAGGGGTGCAGACAGGAGTCATGAGTCACCTGAATGCTATCTGCCCCCTTTTCCTACTTGGGAACGCCAAACCTCGTCTCCCTTGGGAACCCCTGCCTGGTGTAAGTGTGCCTCGAGGCATCAGAGACAGCCCTGTTCACCAGTTTAAGCTGGGGAGAGGAAAGCAAGCTGTTTGAAAGGTTTGAATCAAAATGAGTATTTAAAAAATTTATTTATTTGAGAGAGAGAGAGAGAGAGCACAAGCAGGTGAGGGGCAGAGGGAGAAGCAGACTCCCGGCTGAGCCGGGAGCACCATGTGGGACTGGATCCGGAGACTCTAGGATCATGACCTGAGCCGAAGGCAGACCCTTAACTGACTGAGCCTCCCAGCCGCCCCTCAAGGTGGATATATTTTTAGGTAGATATGTTGAGTAATTAAGATATGCCTATAACTAGCTACACGTGAGTATTTTACAAATATCACCTATTCCCTGTCTCACCAAACCCCCTTGGTCCTAAGAACATTTTGAAAGAGGAAACCTGGGGCTCCTGGGTGGCTCAGTTGGTTGAGTGGTTGTCTTTGGCTCGGGTCATGATCCCGGAGTCCTAGGCTTAAGTCCCACATCAGGTTCCCAGCTACACGGGGAGTTTGCTTCTCCCTCTGACCTTCTCCCCTCTGACGCTCTCTCTTATTCTCTCTCTCTCTCAAATGGACAAATAAAATATTTTAAAAAGAGAAAGAAAGAGAGAGAGAGAGAGAGAAAGACATTTGTTAGCCTGAAGAAATCTCCAAGTAGTGAGAGGTGTTCCATGGTACAGGAGTGGGCTGTGTGTGCTGGGGTGAAGGAGGAGGTCACGGCCCTGCAAAGAAAACAGACCCATGTGTCTCTGGGTTAAGGGGATCCCAGAGTCTCCAGAGGTGCTTCAGAAACCTTCTAGGGCCTCCAGCTACAGCCCAGCCCCTGCCACCCCCACTGACTCTGGAAGTACTCACCAGCCCGCCCCAGCCTTGCTCCGTTGGACACTGAGAAACCTTGGCCCTGGGCCTCAGAATTCAATATAGATAAGGCACCTGAGTGTCAGCCCCACTGTGCTCTGGGCAGCCTGAGGTGGGCCGGGTCAGAAGAGTTGCGCTGCTGGCGTGCTCCTCTTCTCCTAAGCCACGAACTAAATTTTGCCTCATGTCTTTCTTCTTGCAAGCCTTGGTCCCAAGAGACAGAACAAACATATGTTGGTGCGCATGCTTTACACGGGCACACGTGTGTGGGTGTGTGTGGGTGTGTATGTAAATCATTGCCAGGGAATTAACACCTCAAATAAAGTAATGCTGTCAAATATTGTACTCAGGCCTGTATTTTGGGTTAAGCTACACCATTTGATATACCAGCTAAGTAAGCTCTCACTGTCTGAGGCAGCGGGGTGACAGGGACAAGTGGTTAGGATGCTCTGAGCCCGTTCCCCTCCTTTCCTCCTCTGGGCCTTGTAACTCTCCCCCTAGCTGCCGCTGCATCCCTCCTCGGCCCTGATTCTCACTGGCTTTTCTAGGCCTTCCATGTGTTTTTCTCTCTCTCTTTTAACTTGTTCTACCAAATTTCTATTTTAAAATATCTAGAGGTTACATCTCTGATTGTCCCAAGTTTTCTTTTGTTTATGTAGATGGCACAGCACTAGTGGTGGGGGTGGAGGGATATGACTCTGTCATGTCATGTCGGCTTCCCCTTGGATGATATTTTTAAAAATAACATTTCAGAGAATCCTGGCATTTTCCCATGATTTAGACTCCATATTTGGTCACGAGAATGCTTTGGGGCAAAGGAGGAGCTTTTCTGTTAATCTTTTCTTTATTCTTATATGACTTCCTCGGTATCATAAATGGATTCTCTCTCTTCCAAAGATGCTGCTGCTGATGGTGCCACCATTTCTTGGAAGGAAAATTTTGATTCAGCTTATACTGAGCTGAATGAAATTGGAAGGTAATGACTCCATTTTCTATTCCTTCATTCATGGGCATGTATCATCATCATATCAGAATAATGACATGCTTTTCCTATTGTTTGTTTCTCCTCACTAAGTGTATTCCCTCTTTAGTAAGAAAAAAAAAACAGAATATTTTTGTGTATTTTTACTGCTTTTTTTTAAAAAAACTTTTTAAGTTAGATGCTTCACTCATAACTGTCAGCCTTTCTTCTATTCTAATATAAGAATTTAAGCCTTTTCTTCAAATTACAATTTTAGTTACATCTCCTGAGTTCTGATATGTGGCACTTTCATTATCATTCAGTTCAACTATGATTTTTTCTGACCTAATAGTAATAGAAATACTTTAAAATTTTCAGCTGTGTGAGATTTTTCCAAATCATCTTCGTCTTACTGATGTCTAACTTAATTACATTGTAGTTGAAGAACTTGATCTATGTGATACTGACTCTGACTTTTGCTGGGACTTGCTTTATTTGCAGTACCTGGTCAGTTTTTGTTCGAAGTTCCATGTGTTCCTGAGAAGAAGGTATAATCACTAATTACCGGTTCAGGTCTCCACATATGTCCATATGTCAAGCCCAACACACTGTTTTATGCATATTTCTAGTCCAATCTCCCCTACGCATACCCACACACTCGGTCACACAATCTATCTCTATGAGTAGAAAAGTGTCCTCAAAAAAAAAAATGATAAAAATATGACTTTTAACAAAACAATGAAAAAAAAATCTATCACCTGTCCCATAAAGTAGCTGATGGAAAGAAACAAAAAAGAGGTCATCTCTGTGTGTGCATTAGTTTGCACGTGGTCTAGGTGAGAGGGTGGGGAGTTCTTACACGTTCCCCCACCCACTGAATGTATAAAAAAAAAAAAGTACCCACTAACAGTGGGCTGTTATCATCATCTCTTTGATTGACGTCTCTCAATGAAGCACAACTTTTCCTGAGTAGGGTGGTTATGACAGGGGTTGTGGAAAGAACCCAAATGTTTGCTATTCCCATTTCTTAGGCAGGAATCACAATGTCACTCACGACCTTTCACCATAATACCCTCCATCAAAAACCAACTTTCGCTCTCCTTTCACTCTTCTTTGTGTGGCCAGAGGGAGAAAAAGACCAGTGGAAATTTACATGGTGTTGGATGATGCTTATATTGTGTTGCAGATACTATGAAGATATTATATGAGAGGCATTTAGTGTAATTCTTGCCACATTGTGAGTAGATTCCCAGGAAAGGAACCCAGGCTTGGGGAGTTAAGTAACTTTTTCGAGGTCTTGCAACCACTAAGTGTAGAACAGCCAGGATTCCAACTCTGGCCTACCCAATTCTTAAGCCTGTGTTTGTTTTACTAGCATATGTGATTTCTCACTACAGCAGTTTTTGTCAAATAAGTTCTAGCCATTGAAATCTAGTCTGCTCCATTATATTCAAGTTTTGTGAAGTGCCACGTGACTCTAGTAAGGAATCGACTCCACTCCTGGTTCTAAAGGAAACTAGTTGTATCGCTCAGATGCTACAGTGATTTCCTTCCCCAGACATGCATTTGCTGTTGAGAACCAGAGGCTAAGGCATGTTTTACCTAGAAGAGATGGATGTTTTAGTATTTCCCAAAGGGGAGCTCAAGTTTCTGATCTGTTCAGGGCAATGATGTTTTTGTTTTTGTTTTTCAAATCTCATCCCCAGCCATCTGAAGCTTTTCCTCTCCTCCAAGTACAGTCCTCCTATTTTCAAGAGCTCCTTTAAAAATGCTGCATGGGGTCACCTGGGTGGCTCAGTGGGTTAAAGCCTCTGCCTTCGACTCAGGTCATGATCTCAGGGTCCTGGGATCGAACCCTGCTTCGGGTTCTCTGCTCAGCAGGGAGCCTGTTCCCCCCCGCACCGCCAACTTATGATCTCTCTCTGTCAAATAAATAAATAAAATCTTTAAAAAAAAATGCTGCACATAAACAGAAGGGAAATAAAACATGTAGATACTGATGTGAGACATACCACAGGTATCTGCAGGCCATAGATGTGAGTCAGCTTTCTCCACTGAACTTAAACCTAGACTTACAGGCCTATCGGATTATCTTGTTAAAAATAGCTCTCTGGTAATTAAGTAGTTTAAAAACCATGGTGCATAAAGAAATATCATCACTCCTAAAGTCTATCTGCAGAAGGAAAGAGCACTTGAGCATGGCAAGCTTACTGGAAATAAACGAGACGGGCACCACAGCAATGGGAAGATGCCAGAGAGTTGTCCCCTGGGAATGCGGACTGGTGACCTGTACAGGATCCAAAAAGATAGCAGGGCCAGGCCTCCAGGCAAGGATGGAAGGTTGAATCCAGCCATCCGTTTTCACACTGTCCTGAGACTTCACTGAATCTCCACTAAAGGAATTTTTCCAATCAGGCACATAAGGGTGAGGACACGGGAAGAAGAGATACTCCAGAAACACATTCAAAGCAGAAAACAAGTGAAAGAGTGACAAATGACCTAGGAGACCTGAGGAACTCAGTCCAAATCAGTTGTGGGGTCAAGTGAGAGCCAGTGAAACTTTTGCAGCAGAATCCCCCAAAGGCTGGGGAACTGGCCGCATCAAGTAGCTCTGTAAACCGGTGTAAAGAGGATGCTGACATGGGAAGGAGTGGCTGAAACTGTGTGAGAGCTTGTCGCTTCAGATCTCCTCCCCAGCGGAGGCAGCTGTAGGATCGTCTCTCCCCATGCAGGAAAAGGCTGGGGTCCCTTCTCTAGACAGGGTAAAATGGAGCGCCTCTCTTCTCTGGGACACTGGCACACTTGGGGGCAGCAGAACCTTCCAGCAGACAGGCCTCTTAGGACACTGTAGCCACGCTGGATACTCAGGACCCCAGCTTTCTCAACCACCCAGCCTTCAAAAGTGGACAACTGTGGCTTCACCATCTAGGCAGGAGGTACAAGGCTCTTTCTCTGGGAATTCTGATCAGCCCAAGAAGAAAGTCTTAAAGATACTGACTTTGGAGCTTTCCCAACTAAACAGTCCACTCAGATCACGCTATAGTGAAGATCAAATTGACAGGCTCCACTCCCCACACTCAGAGCTTCCAAACACCGTTTAGTCCCCAACTTTTAGAATGAGCTAACTTCCAGTGCCCGCCATGAGAGAGTCAGCCCACTGTGGCCTATCTCTCCCACTGATGACAACCAGAATCCCTGGAGAAAATACAAAAAAGGCAACTACCTCAGGATTCTGAAAAGTAAAGAACACAGAGAACAGGGAGCCAAGTGAAAACTTGAGGAAAGTCAGGGACAGTGGCAGCGAGTTCTCTGGCTTGTTTGTTGGGCTTTAACCCAAGTGCGGGCCAAACCAGAGAACTGGGCAACATGTACAGGGGACAGTTCCAAAGGAAACTCATCTTTCTGGCCAAAAGACAGGAAAGGGGGCTGTCTTTGAGCTGAAGAGACAGGAAAATGCCATTCCCTCCCTCCTTTCCTTCTCTCGTTGCTTTAACCCAAGCAAGAAACTAAAACTCTGAAGGAATCCCATCTATAAAAACGGACCCATGGGAGCCAAAGAATGTGTGGGAAATCTCAGTGAGAAGAGAGCTAAGGAAGGAGATCCCCCTAATTCTGTGCCTGGAACAGGACAGATCCTGGGCTCCTTTCAAGCTATGCACAGAACACAGCCACAGAAGCATAGCAAGGCCTGAGAGCCGAACTATGCCATTAGACCATCACTCAGTCATCCTGCAGTGACTTATTAGTCCCAGACAAATCTTTGAATGGTTCTCATAAGGGGCAGTCTTTATCAGAAGTGAGGCCTGAATTCTGTCACAAAAAGGAAAATATTCATAGTTTACTGGAGCTGCAAATTTGACTAGCCCTGACCTAGTTGCAATAATGGAAACACTGAATATTGATTAAAATATCATTCTGTGGGAGGATGGGGGATGGAGAAAATGGTCATGTGGTAGAGACAGAGAGAGGAGAGAGGCTAACATCTCCGGAGTGGGTGTCAACAGATTATAATGAAAACTGAAACACCAAGAAGTAACCACACAAACATAGACTACCCCAGTAATAAGCTAAAATATAATTACCTGATAGGTTAAACTGCCTCTCAGGTAAGGAAAACGGGGTTGTGGGGTAGAAGGATGGGGTACTATTAGTTTTAATAAGAAACCTTAAAGCTAATTGACTTTTTAAATCATAGGGATGCATAACTTGGAAAAGCACAATTTAAAGGAAAAAATTAAGGTATAGGGGCACCTGGGCAGCTCAGTGGGTTAAGTGTCTGCCTTCCCTCAGGTCATGATCCAGGATCAAGCCCCGTGTTGGGAGCCTGCTTATCCCTCTCCTGTTCCCCCTGCTTGTGTTCTCTCTCTCTCTCTCTGTCAAATAAATAGAATCTTTAAAAAAGGAAGGAAGGAAGGACAGACAAACATAATGAAGGGGCGCCCGGCTGGCTCAGTCTGTGGAGCATGCAACTCTTGATCTCAGTATCGTGAGTCTAAGCCCCACAATAGACATAGAGATTACTTTAAAAAAGAGAGCGAGATGGCAATTTATTAATTTATGATATAGAATGGAAATGTCAGTTCAACCAAATATTTGCTTACTATGCAGAAAGAATGATGTCTGCTACATAACAGGCATTCAATTAGTATTTGTCAAATACTTGTTTTATTGATTAACATATTCTCTTCTTAAAGATTTTTTAGTATTATCTATTTATTTCACACACACACACAGCATGAGCATGGGGAGGGGCAAAGAGAGAGGAAGAAGCAGGGTCCCCGCTGAGCAGGGCTCTGTCCCAGGACCCTGGGATCATGACCTGAGCGGAAGGCAGAGACTTGCCTGACTGAGCCACCGAGATGCCCCAGCATATTCTCTTCTTTTGAGAAAACCTATACTGGGGAGACATTATCTGAATATTATTGTCAGAAAGTCACTTGGTGAGCACAGGGCCAGGTCAAGGGGTCAGTTGGACCATCTTTGTGGTGGTTCTGGTGTTGGCTGCCTCCATTTCTGCTAGAGGAATGGACTGCTCTTTGGATGGTTGACTCCTCCACTCATAGGTTACAGTATCTCAGGGACGGACCTGGGATGGGCACTGCTGGTCACCTCTTTGACTCCCTTTCCCTGTTCCCATTGCTGACCAGTTCCCTCTTCTGCTTCACTCTTACTACCTCCTACTGGGCTACAGCTGAGTCTGGGAACCATTCTATTCTAGATGTGGCTAATTTTGTCAGATGTGAAGCTGGCATGCTGGTTATATATACATTCTTCAATGTCTTTGTCAGTTAGAAACGACTGAAGTATTTATGAGTGAAATACCATGGTATCTGGATTTTGCTAAAAATACCATGGGAAAAAAAGGCAAGAGGTAAGAAAGAAAGGGATGGAATAAGGTTGGCAAAATGCTAATAATGACTGAAGCTGGCTGCTGGCTGCGCAGATCTATTATACTATTCTCTCTACTTTTGTGTATATTCGAAGTTTCTGTCATACCAAGATAATAAATATAAAAGGAAAAAATTGCCTCTTTAAGAAATGTTTTTGAAATGATCATAGAGTAGAATTCCTCCTTCTTGCACATTATTATTACCGTTGTATTTTACAGAAATATACTCCACTTAGAAAACTGAACCTGTGGTTGATATTTTGAAGCAAGAGAGAAATCTGGTGACTAAAATTGATATGAGTTTTTTGCATCTCAGAGATTCCTGAACTGCTAAGGCAGGAAACACGGCTTTTCTTGAGAGATCACATGATCATTTCAAAATAGGAAAGTAGGATTCCTAATAAGTGTAACTGTCTAACCACTTCAGAGAAAACGTTACAGATCCTTGAATAAAATAATACCTGGTTGATGGAGGAAGCTTCGCAAAATGCTTTCTGTCTTCCGCTCTCCAGGGGCCGTTTCTCCATAGTGAAGAAGTGTATTCACAAAGCTACGCGGAAGGACGTCGCAGTGAAATTCGTTAGCAAAAAAATGAAGAAAAAAGAGCAGGCTGCCCACGAGGCTGCCCTGCTTCAGCACCTGCAACACCCCCAGTACATCACTCTCCATGACACCTATGAGTCCCCCACGTCCTACATCCTGATTCTGGAGCTGTAAGTACAGGCGTCTTGGTCGTCTCCAGTGTCTGGGTTCCTTCGCGCCCCACCCCCCGCAACAGCGGTTACATTCTATACAATGTCTCGCTATGTACGGAGTGTTGTAGGTCATGTGCGATCTCCCGTCTGTTTTATAAAAAGGTAGTTCCCATCTACAGATTAGAAAAATCAAGTGTAAAGAAGGTCCTTATCACTAGGAAATGGAGAAGCTGGGACTTGAACCTGTATATCTCTCTCCCTCGGATTCTCATGTTCTTTCTACTATGGACTCTTGGGCTGGACAGGGGTTTAGGAAGACTGTATGGACCCTAGGCTTGTTGACAGGGGTGGGGCTGAACTGAAAGGGGGTTTGTGCATCAACCCACTGACGTGGCAGCCATGATCTCCCACCTAAGAAATTCCTTTTAAAGTGGAACCTTGACCTTCAAAATATTCCACTCATTCCAGATTTTCTAGGAACTCAGGCATCTGCATACTTGGCCCTAGAACACATCCAGTAAAGCACATTCTGCCCCGCTACTACCCCAGGCTAAGAACAGAGAACGTGTCCTGTGGTTCACAGAGATCTAACAGAGGCTAAAGAGAACAGAGTCCTCTCAGGAGGACGGAGCCCTCATAGAGACGTCATCAGATGCATGCTGATGACCCTGCCCCAAGACCGGTGCCACGCATGTGTCCCCGGGAGCCTCTGTCCAGAAGAGAAGCGCCTCCATGTACAGCTTTCCAGCTGTCATTTTACTGTGACTCTTGCGTGCTTGTTTGTCTAAATATTTATGGATGAGGGCCTTTGAGGCAGTCCTCTATAAATTTATTTATGTTGGAAAAAAGACAGCCAAAAAACAAACATCTTCGGCTACATTTTTTAATTCGTTGAAAAGAAACAAGAGAAGATAGAACCAACTGTATTAATATTTGTACTTCTTTTGTGATACATTATATAGCTGTGTAGTAGTAGATCAATTGTCACTTTGGAGTTAACGAAGACCCTTACAGAGAGCCTTCCAGAACCTAATATCAAGTGCTTATACAAGTATTATCACTTGTATATCAAGACAATATGGCGGACCGAGAACCTTAGCCCCTTCAGTTTCTCCAGCTTGCATCGTTCTGGGGGAAGGTGCTGATTACCAGGCTGCCTCGGTGCAATGGAAGGAAGCCATTCTTGGAATGAAGAGCCTGGGCGCTCATCCCAGCTCTGGGATTTGGGGGCAGGGTCTTTAGATTCCTAGGCCTGGAGTCTCATCTGTGAAGTCTGAAGAATTATTTCCGTTTCTCAGAGACATTACAGGGATTAAATGAGGTGAATAGTGGATTGAGTTAGTTTAGCAAATGTTTACTGAGCACACCCTGTGTGCCTACTGCTGGGAGGACCTAGGCCAGGATGGAAGGAACAAAGGTGAAAAGGGGTGGTTCTTGCCCTCGAAGAGTTCAAAACCTGATGAGGAGGACCAATCCATAAGTGATGATTTTAGCTGAACATGGTAAGTGCTGAGAAAGAAATGCGTTTTGGAGAGGGTTGCTGTGAGAACATAGGAAGGTGTTTGTGGGACTGGAAAGGTAAACCCTGGTAAACCCTGTGCTAAATCTTGGTTATGCTGTGACCAGAGGTCCTCCCTTTGGTGGCCATCCAAATCCCTGGTAAAGTTTTTCTCTGCTAGGCAACAGAGGTTCTGATGGCCTAGGCTAGGGTGAGGCCCGGGCATCTGCATTTCCCAAAAGCTCTGAGGGTGGACTTGGTATGAGGGCTTGCGGGTCTCGGAAGAGTGCAGCAAGAAGCACGGGGGGAGCATCTCACAAACCCAGGCTCCCTCCACTCCATGCTCATCCCTCCCACCTCACCCCCCGCCAGGTCCTAGGCTTTGCTCCTATCAAGGAAAGCAGGAGAAGATAGCAGGGGGAAGGACCATGCTAGAGGAGAGAATGGAAACCTGGCTGGGGTGGGGGGAGATCAACTGTGCTCAAAGGTGGTTTCTACCTCTGGTTCAAGTCTTTCCTGGGGATGTACCTTTGACAGCTCAGTGCACATTGGACTAGCAGTCTGACATTTGGTCACTCCAGATGCTCAAGAGGGTACAGGGGACCTGAAAACACTATTGAGCACTCAGGCTGCTACTGATTAGGCATACCGCTTGACTCTTACATAGCCCCCGGGATGAAGTCAGTCTTATTGCTGTTACTCCCAGTTTAAAGATGAAGAAACCAACACAGGGTTTAAGCGACTTATCCCAAACCCCCAGTCTGTAGCTGGCAGAATAAGGACTCAACTCTGGATCTGGCTGGCTCCCCCTATCGTGTTCTCAATCATGGTTTTTAAGATTGGAAAATTGCTCACAAGGCAAAGGGTCCCGAAAAGGGTCAAGAATGCCGAGGACAAACTTTGCCCACTTTCCATTTTCCCCAGCTAAAAACTGACAAATAAAAGCAATTTGCAAAACATATTTGCAGGCGTAGAGCCACCAGGTTCAAGTTAACCGAATATTGAGAGAGAGCGCGCTCTCCTTTCTCTCTCCCTCCGAAGACTTTCTGTATTTTGCCAACTAATCTCTTAAAGAAGGGTCAGACCTCTTTCCTCGTGAGCGGTTTTTAACTTTAACAACGTAGAATGTGTCTTAAGGTTACCCGTGTTTCTTCTGTGGAGCACATCACATGGTAACTTTTAAATTAGCTTGTTAATTTTAGTTCTGAACATTAATTTTGGGTTCTAACTAAAATACACATGTGTGGGAACATTGATCTTCATCTATAAGCAGGAGCAGGAGAGATTCTGGAGCTCTGACCAATCAGTATATGTTATTTTTCCATTTCTTTACAAACGTATTTCCTTGGCTGATTCCTCCCTGATTTCAGGATGGACGATGGCCGGCTCTTAGACTACCTTATGAATCACGATGAGCTGATGGAAGAGAAAGTCGCTTTCTACATCCGGGACATCATGGAAGCTCTTCAGTACCTCCACAACTGCAGGGTGGCCCATTTGGACATAAAGGTAATACGCAAGAACTGCACTTGCACGGAAGTGGCCAAGTCCAGCCTGTCAGTCATTACCCTTGGGGAGGTCCATTCTGATTCATTTTAGGTACTTGGGTTAGAATCCTGACAAATTTTAAGACAGGAACTAGGTCGTCCCACAATTCCAGTGTGTTCTTTGTGAATTAATGAAAACACCAAGAGTCACCATGACATCTGGGGTGAGGGAAGGTCGGGAAGATCTTCCCGCCTCATCTAACATTTTAGAAGGAAGCCAATAGATGTCAGGTTTTTGTTTGTTTGTTTGTTTGTTTGTTTGTTTGTTTTTAATTAAGTAAGTCTTGATTTCTTTTTTTCTTTTTTAAGATTTTATTTATTTATTTGTCAGAGAGAGAGAGAGTGTACAAGCAGGCAGAGTAGCAGGCAGAGGCAGAAAGAGAAGCAGGCTCCTCACTGAGCAGGGAGCCTGACGCAGGACTCAATCCCAGGACCCTGAGATCATGACCTGAGCCAAAGGCTTAACCAACTGAGCCACCCAGGTATCCCAAATGTCAGTTTTTTATGGTGCCCAAGAGAAGCCCCTGTTTTCCAAAATGAATAACCCACTCTTTTTTTTTTTTTTTGAGTCAGTGCAGAAGTAAGGGATAGTTGAGAAGACATGATTTTTAATGTCAGACAGCTTCTCTGAAACATTACCCCAACACAGAATTTAGTCTAGTTTGAAGGCCACCAGGCACTTTGCATAGGCAATTTCTCGTGCTCTATAGGCTTTCCCAAAGACTAGCAGAACTATGTCTGAACCACCAGAGTCCTACTGGTAGACGAGACAGAGAGCTCAACTTGCCTTCTCTTCTCCCTCCCGCCTGGGTCTCCTCAGCCCGAAAACCTGCTCATTGACCTACGCATCCCAGTGCCTCGGGTGAAGCTCATTGACCTGGAGGACGCCGTCCAGATCTCGGGTCACTTCCACATCCACCACCTGCTGGGGAACCCCGAGTTCGCTGCCCCAGAAGTGATCCAAGGCATCCCTGTCTCCCTGGGCACAGACATCTGGAGCATTGGGGTTCTGACATACGTCATGCTGAGTGGGGTGTCCCCCTTCTTGGACGAGAGCAAAGAGGAGACCTGTATCAATGTGTGCAGAGTGGACTTCAGCTTCCCGCACGAATACTTCTGCGGCGTGAGCAATGCCGCCAGAGACTTCATCAATGTGATCCTGCAGGAAGACTTTCGCAGGAGGCCCACGGCAGCCACGTGCCTGCAGCACCCCTGGCTGCAGCCCCATAACGGCAGCTACTCCAAGATCCCCCTGGACACCTCCCGCCTGGCGTGCTTCATAGAACGCCGCAAGCATCAGAACGACGTGCGGCCTGTGCCCAATGTCAAGAGCTACATCGTCAACCGGGTCAACCAAGGGACGTAGTCGTCTCCTCACCCTTGGGGTTCCACATGGCAGTGCAGTGTGAACCAAAGCAAGACTGAATGTCTGTAAATAGTTCTGTTCATTTGCTCCACGCAGTTCTCTGGCTTGAGGGACGGACCTCTTCAACCTTGTCCGTGGCTATTCAGGGTCTGGGCAGCGGCAAAATTACCCTCAACCCAAGGGCTTTCCAGAAGGCCATTTAGAAGACAAAGATGTGAAGAGTCACCTAGAGTGTTAAAGAGAGGGGGCAAGGATACCAAGAATATGAGCCGTTATGAAATTTTAACAGTGAGTTCCACAACGGGCGGTGAGCTGGGCAAAGCTGCAGCTCCAAGTAGCAAGCGTAAAAGGTTTCTAACCCTGCTGAAATTGGAAGCAAGAAAGTTCTATTTAACAGAGGTGTCACGTATGTCCACTCTTCTGGTTTAGATTACTTTGATATAGTTTCTTAATAGCATTCACATATACAGTAAAATAGATCCCATTCGGGTTTCAGAGTTTTATAATATAGAGGTATATATGACCTCGATCCTAAGTAACTTTGAGCACTCCGATTAAGACAGTCCTTTATTTATCAAAGCATTACATTGTTTTGACTAAGCACAATAAGATGACAAGTTTTTTAGAGCATTTTATAAATCTTGTATAGAAATCTCTTACCAGAACCCATGCATTAAGAGAAAGCAATGTTACCCTTTTGCAATCTGTGAATGAGAAGCTTTTTCTCTCAGTCACGAGTATCTGATTAACATAGATTCTGTATATGAAACGCTACCCCCAAATTCACTGGCAGCTCAGAGTTTATCTGGCAGGAAAGCCTGCCAGGAAATAAGTCCAAATACAGTTAAGAGTTGTGGGGCTATTTTTATGTCTACACTCGGTTTGAACTAGGTAATGAATAAAACAGGTTCACACAAAAGGGCAAATAGAAAACTTTCCTACGGTTCCTATGAACAACGTTAACAACACTTTCTGACTTCTTCTACAGCTGTAGAAGGCAGTCCTCAGAAAGTTGGCTTGCTTTATTTCTAACCCCTTCTGGAAGCTGAGGGGTGCTTACCAAAAGGAGGCAGCCATATAGGCCTTTAAAGGCCTGGTCCCAAGTCCTTTTTGAAGCCATGGAATAAAATCTGATACATCACTCGGACAGAGCATTGAGTTTTAACTGCGTTTGCCGTACCTGTCACCACACAGCCGCTGACATTTCTCTGGACCAAAAGGACTAATTGCACTTTGAGGCCAATGCTGCTTTCTGGTGCGTATTCTCCACACAAGATGATTATGAACTGCCCTTTCCCCCCACGCTGGTGGAAAACAAACAAAAAAATCAGCCTGGGCATTTCATGGTTGTTTTTCTTTCTTGGTTTCTGGGGAAAATTTTCTGTTTTTTTTTTTCTGTTGGTCCATGATCCACGCTTTGTTTTCTAGGATGTGTTTTGAAAATTGCTATTATGCAAAATTACTTTAAAAACGTAACTCAAGTGTTTGTCCTCAAATCAGGTTTAATGGCACTGCTTCTCTCCTATAATAGGGTTGAGAAAATTGTGCAAGCAGAGAGTTTATGAGGGATAAATAGAATTACACATCTATCTAAATGAAAAGGATAGTAGACGTTAAGCCTGAACTTTAATATATAAAAACCCTTATTCCCACAGTGGAAATGTAAAATTAAAAGTACCCGTCTTTCTTTTCCGTCTGTTTCAGAGTCACCTTCCTCATCCACCCTCCAGCTCATCCCATCCGAGACTATAGATTAATCAATGACTAAGAAGTACAAGCAATAAGACTAGGTAGCACTTCGTATTTTTAGGATTAACCAAATACGTGGAAACTGATTTCATCTGTATTTGGTTCCTAGTTTGGGATGGCCCTGGGTCACCAAGGCACCCTCCCTCAGAGCCCACCCCTGACTAACCCTCCTAATCTCCATTTAGCTCTACATGTATATACAAATGCTATCTGATATGATATTTTAAAATTTAAAACATATTTACTAAAAAAAAATTTTTTTTAAGTAAACATGTCTTCATTGTGAGCTCTAGCCTAAAAGAAGAACGCCTGGTCCCTAGGGCTGGTCACGGGACAGAGGGCAGGTGCTGAGGATTCCAAACACCCATGGAGTGTGGCTTGGCAAGGTCTGTTTCGTCCACTGTGTGCAATGACTAAAGAACTCCCTGCTGAGTCTTTTCGAGTTTTTATGACCATGGAAGAGATAGGCTGAGTTTCTGCAGGAGAAGATTAGGGCCTCGGACAGTGGTGCACAGAAGACACAGGAGAACATTCACGAAACCGTGTTGTGGGAAGGCAGCTGACAGATTGTTAGAGCCAAAGCTTTTATATCAGCATCTCCAGGAGAGTTGGGACAGCCCAGGTGTGGGGTTGTGCAGAATCTCTCCTCCCCCCAGTATACATGTTGGGGAAGTGAGGAGATGGGAGAGGTGAGACATAGAAATGCAAAGTAGTATGATTCTGTTAACCGGAGCCAAAGTACAATCATTAGAGTAGAATTAATTTAATAGACGCCCCAAGAAAAAAGGGCATGTATTTTATATAGCTTGGTCACTGAAGAAAACTAACAGAGAGGTGTCCTGTCTCCAAAGCCCCTGCTTCTTCCCCAACAGGAGTAAGATAGCAGTCCTGCTTTGAGAATGCTCCACAGCCAGTTGGAAAGAAAAAGGAATCCCCGAAAGTAGGGCTGGGAAATGTACTTGAGGTTGCTGTGTGGGTGACCGTAGTGAGGGATGAAGGATTAGAAACCAGTTTCTTGTACCTGTTTTCGCAGATAGTTATGACTTTGTGGTAGAGAGACGGGGAGAAGAGAAAATGGTCCGCGTCTGCCATATTGTCATAGTTCTTGAAATCAAAACTGAACTAGGAATTAGTGTGAACTTCCAGCTGAAATGGGAAAAATTAATGTCAGTTGAAGTCATAAGTTTCTTGCCTGGCTTATATTCTTTGCATAGAGTTTGGGGTTTGTTTTGTTTTGTCAGGGTGGGATGCAGAGAGAAGGCAAAGATCAGGGACAACTCATATTAATTTTTCTAAAGATTTAATGATTTACTACATCTTTTACATTTGTTTCAAATTAAATAGATTTATATCCACGTACAGCTGAATGTTGGGAAAATTTTTAAGAAAAAAAAAATTGTAATGTTGGAGGATGTCCTTCTGGACTCTCACAGCCATAAACACTCTTGGGGGAGTAGAGGGAGCAGAGGGAAAGCTGGCTTCACCACTTTGTTGTTCACAAAGCCTTTATAAATAGTAGTGCCTTTCAGAGGGGAGGTTGGGAGATAAAGAAGTTCATTGTATTTAGATTGACTGATACTGCAGCATTTTTTTTATGTTAAAATATCTTTTAAATGAAAACATCTGGATATAGGGTGAGGCCAGGAATTCTTGAGTTTCAACCTCAGCTATTCCTGATTCGTCCTTTCTTACAGAAAGTCTTTGTTTTTTTTCTGTCCCAAATGTCCTCATTGTTAAAATGGGAAGTGGGGGAAGGAGGAGGGACTTTAATCTCATAGGAATGTTGCAAAAATAGCATAGTTGGGATGTCTAAAGAATACTTTGATTTTCTTAAAGTGCTACACACTGCCAGTGCTGAGAATTTTATTAACAGTAACTTTGAACATTCTGAGTTTTCAGTATTCATATTTTAGGATACCATTTGCAAACTCATGAGATTAAATTCTGTAAATTGATTTTAATTGGAAGTACCAGGTGCTCTTCGTCTAAATGTTATTTGGTCTTAGCCTGTAATTTCAGTCATTTGAAAGCTTGTCTACAGACAAAGGTTAGGAGAGCTGATGGTCTTACAGGAATAAGCTGTTTTCTCCGGTATTTCTGATGGCAGAGCCAGAGTAGAATGCCCTGCAAAGCGACTGCTGCTCTCTCTTCTCAAGCTTTATGCTCTGGAAAAATTGATGGAGAAGAACTCAAACAGCCACTTTCCTCACTGGAAGGGCAGAAATGAGAATAAACTACTGTTTGATATCACAACTCATTTCTTCAGAATCTCACCGGCATCCATTATAAGAGACAAATTATATGCACAGGTGCAGAAATGAATTGAACTGCTGAATTTTGAAGGGAAAACCTTGGATCTTTTTTTTTTTTTTTTAGGATAATTAGATGTTTCGGGGGTAGCATATTTGCTTTCCTATACTATCCATGATTTAATGCCCAAGAGTTAGGCATTCCTTGTTCGCTTGCCTATGTAAAAGAGCAGGGAAATTTAAACTTGTGAGAACATGAGGAAGCAAAGGCATTATAAATTAGATGGTGGTTATTTCTGCATATTAACTAAAACTTTGTCCCACAAATTTGATAGAGGAGGAAATACTATAGACCTAAAGGGTCTCTGTAGTAAGGCAAAAGTGCCAACTCACCACTTCCTTGTTCAGTTTTGAGGAATGTGGGCTTTACTCCTTTTTCTCCTGTGTAGCATCTCTGTGGAGTCTGGGTTAGGCTAACATAGTATGTGGGCTTCCAATGAATTTATTTGCATTATGGCTTTTCTATTTACTATTTAAAGTCTAGGGATCTTTTGGAAATTAATAATTAAATCTGGGGTGGATTTAGAAAAGACAAGGTTTATATATACTCCACAAAGAAAAGGAAAGCTACTGTGTTAATATTTATTTTCTAAAAACTGTAAGGCTCTCAGTTGTTTCACTATTTCTAGAGGGTTAAAAAGAGCTGAAATTTGTCTATAGCACTAGACAGTTTTAATAGGAAATATTATTCATGTGAGAAATCCATATAGAAATAGAACACAGAAATATCATAGGCCATATTTTCAAAGAAAAACATTTCTGCATTTTCCATGTTTGTAGAAGGTATAGCAGAGGAAAAAGCAATTACTCTAGGGCAAATTTTCATCTTTAAGGGACATTCTTGAAATTAATACTCATGAAAGCCTGAAATACTCATAGGCTACTGTGTTTTCTTGTCAGCCTGTTTGCTGGGAGATTCTAAAATACGATCGGGTTTCGCTTTATTCACATGATCAAGATCAACTGTTTCTTCAGATAGCGTTATTTCAGAGGGTGAGGATAGTTGAAAAAAGGGAGAGTGGTGGGGAAAAAGTGCAGATAAAATTCCTAGCGTCCCAACTTAAGCAAGCCAATTTGCTAGCCCAGGGAGAGCGAGCATTAAGAAGAGTTCCATCAACACCTGACTTCTATCAAGAAATGAATCCACATCCTGGAGTATTATGGGGACTTTTACCATGATCTCAGAGACTGTGGTTATGAATTTGAAGTCAGCAAACATACATATTCTCTTACTAACTTAAGCCATATCTGTCATCTCTTTGTCTGATTTTTTTGACCCTGGTGCTTTTACTTCTGTTTCTGCCAAACTCCAACCTGCTCTATGGGGAAGGTGAGTAACACCAGTAGTTAGGACAAATGTGAAGACTGAAAAACTAAACATACCCATCAGAATGAGATCCTAGTCAGAGAACGGCAGTGATCAAAGTGCAAACTGTTGGAAAATATGGATATATGTACATCTGTACATGTACATAGTGTATAATATGTATGTATATGTTCTTGCTCATATGCAGAAATCTATCCAGTTGAAGACAGCCCAGGTTGGTCAGTTTTTCTACTGGAAAACCATTAGGGCCATTCAAAACCATTAGGGCTGATGGGTGGAGTTCGAGCTTACTCAACTGGGAATTGTTTGCTGTCCTTTGAAGTCCACAAAACCAAATGAACAAAGCCTGAGACATAATGGGGCCATCGTTGAAGCTGTTTACCTAGGGTCACGAGTCTCTTTATATTTGAATTATTAATTATTTGTTTGCAAACTGCATTGGCACCTCTTGGTTTTGAGTGACCCCCCTCCCCACCAAGTCTTTTGAGAGTTTGGAGGGGGCTTCTCTGGCCTCAGATAAAGGGCCTTAATCCATAAGTGGATAGGTTTCCCCATAGGGACCATTACACATATACATATAAGTACATACGTCCATCAGGCTTGTAACAATTGATTTAAAATCACTCCACAGTATTGATAAATAGCTCTATATTTTCAAGGTGCAGAAGAATTCCACAGCCTTAATTATTTCAGTGTCTTGCTGGTCTGCCTTAAGTGTATCTTCTGGGTTTTTGGTTGTCTTATTATTTTTAAATTTTTCTGCAGTTCATTTTGTATGCACACAATGTCGTTTTGTAAAGGTAGGTTGTAAATATTTTATTTGTAAGTCAAAATCACTCATGTGTAATGTTGTAAAGTGAAGACCTGCTGTCTTGTTGTTACTACAGTATATGTTATAAGTTATGGATGAAACTTCAAAATGTACATCTCACAAGTTATGCATTCCTATAAATATACTATACTAAAGATATTATTTCTGGTGGTCTTTTTTCTTTTCTAATTAAAACCATTGTTCAAAGGAAAGAGTAATTTTTTTCTCTTCCCCAAATATATGAAGACCTTTGACAAGTTGAAAAGGGCACATTATTATTACAACACTTTTCCCCCCAGCACTTTGGAAAGAAAGCAACAACTTTGTAGCCTGGAGAAGTACTCTAAGACATTTATCTCCCACACCCCCCCAAAGTCAATTAAGTCTCAGGTGTGTATTATTAACTTAATTCTGGTATTCCAGGTGCTGACTGTTAAAAAAAAAAATAGACCATTTGAGCTAGATGTGACAAATTTATGCATCATGGTGTGTGCTCTCCGAGTCTGGATCAGCCTATACAGACATGATCAGGTCTGTGGGTGCCACACAAGTGTAAATGAGACTGATTCCGAGTACAGTGTCCATTAGGTAGAGTGTTAGAGAGTGTTAGAGATTGAAGTGTTTTGATTAGTTTACTTTGCCATTAAGAACAAAAATGTTTTAACATATGGCTTCTATTTCATCAAAATTTTACTGCGCTTATTTGAAACAATAAACAAGTCTCAAAAGCACAGGTTCTTCACACTGGCAGGTCAGCACAATCTCGCCAAAAATAGACATTAAAAATATAGAAATCAGAATCGATTTAATGAGTAATCATCACGAGCCCTACGGTTTTAAGGGTTATTTCCCTTAAAGTATTGCCTTCTACACATAACGGGAATTTCCCCCCACTTTAAGGGGTTTATTTGTAAAGACCAAATACGCTTGGGTATTCAGATTGGCTGGCAAAATTATCCTCCTGGATAACACTGATATGGAGCAATTCATTCTCCTCTACTCTCCTCCCTCCCTTCCTCATCTGCTGTACACTTACTTCTACCTGCCAAGCAGCCGAGCTACTCTAACGGGAATAAACACACTCCTCCCAGGACACACGGTTTCGACAGAAGAGGTCATGAACCACTACCTGCAAAGCGCTTTACGGTCCCGTGGGCAGTTTGCTCTGACATTGTCATGTGCCAGATGCCATGAAGCTAGTTAAGAACTGAGTAAAGACCTTATTGTCTGTTTGGTGAAACCGGGGTCAGAGGAGGGAGGGCTATGAGAGAAGGGGAGTCGTGGCTAATACTGGCAAATAACTACACGCTGCGCCGGGCAGTAGATAATTAAGGGGACACTGAGCTAGAAAACGGGCAGGATTTACACAACCTCTCTAGAGAGGCTCGGCTTTGGGACTCGGAGGTAGTCTAGATATTCGGAGCTTTGAACTCCAGCCACCCGATCCACAGACGGCAGGCTGAAACACCAGGCGCTAAGCGTGGAGCACTTCCTCCAGCAGATACCCCCACCGCCCACCGGCCTTTTAAAGCCTGGAGCTGGGCCCTGCGAGCCCCGAGGCTGCCGGAAGAGGCCGTGGAAGAGGCGGCGGAAGAGGCGGGGCTTCCTTGGGTGACGCCATCGAGGCGCCGCAAACCTGGCGCGCTTTGGAGTTTAGAACAGGCCCGGGAGCGCGTGGAGATGGCAGCCGCGGAAGCAGCTTTGGGGTCGTTGGTCACGGGTCTGTACGACGTGCAAGCCTTTAAGTTTGGGAACTTCGTACTGAAGAGCGGGCTCTCCTCCCCTGTTTACATCGATCTGCGTGGCATCGTGTCTCGACCGCGTCTTCTGAATCAGGTAGCCAGCCCGGGAAAGGGAGGAACGGGTTTGGGTGCCGGCAATGGGGACAAGGAAGTAGGGAGGATGAAGGAGTTGGGCTGTGGGTGAGAGCAAAAGAGCCAAGCAGGCAGCCGACCCTACTGGGGTCCTAGGGAGTCGATTTGGGAAGCCCAGAGGCCAGGAACTGTTAGGCTCTTGGGGACCATTGATGCAAAATGAACAGACCTTTCTTAAAATTAATTTTAAAAGGGGGGTGGGTAGAGTCTTACTCGGAACCCAGTTAGAACAGCTTTTAGGTACTCATAATCTTCAGAAAGAAGAGAGCGCTCTCGGGAAGGAACATTTGGTGCAGGATTATATATATATTTTTAACGTAGTTAGAATCACCATGATGAAAGGCTTCAGAAAGTTAACACGTTTTGTCTTATGTTTTTAGTATGTAGAAGGCTATATGACTTTAATCTTATGGGAACCAAGGAGGTTTTTAAATTTTTCTTTATGTTTGGAATATCTTTTTTTTTTTCTTTTTTCAATGAAGCAGATGTACAATGTGTGTACGTTTTGGGCAGAAATGGAGCCCAAACTTTGAGGGTTTGCTTCCCTGGGAGATCAGGAGCAGGGCCCACAAACATGAAGAGTTGAGAGTTTTCTTTATCTTATCAGGACCTAGACAGCAGCCTGCTGGTTGACTAATGCTGGTTTTGATACGTCCTTTCCAAGAGTCAGGAAGCCCAGTTTGGAGCACTGTTGACAGCACAGAAATAGTCCAGTGAGTTCTGTATTTAACTCCGAGAAAATAAGATGTGGGGGACAAAGGAGAAGGTGGACAGGGAAAGAATTTAGTAGCTGCTTACATGTTAGGGAGGGTTGTTAGCTTAGAAAGGGAGATTTGATTTTGCACTTTGTGGCCAGAAGCAAGAATGAAGGCCAGAGGATAAACATCTCATGGAGGCACTTTTTTGGTGAAAATAAGGAAAAAGTATGTACAAATTAGAGGTTTCTAGCACAGTGTTTTTCAATCTTTGACTAAATATGAATCACCTGCGAATTTTGTTAAACTGCGTAATCTGATTTGAGTTTATCTAAGGCAGGGCCTGAGGTGATGTCTTTCTAACAAGCTGCGGGTTGGAACTGCTGACCGTAGTGGATAGAAGGGTCTGAATGTGGTGTCCAGTAGAGTTGCTTCTTAGCCACATGTGAATACTGGGCATTAAGAATTTTAAAATTGAGGGCGCCTGGGTGGCTCAGTGGGTTAAGCCGCTGCCTTCAGCTCAGGTCATGATCCCAGGGTCCTGGGATTGAGCCCCTCATCGGGCTCTCTGCTAAGCAGGGGGCCTGCTTCCCTCTCTCTCTGCCTGCCTCTCTGCCTACTTGTGATCTCTCTCTGTCAAATAAATAAATAAAATCTTTAAAAAAAAGAATTTTAAAATTGAAATAATCCCGGCTCCTGGGTGGCTAAATTGGTTAAGCATCTGCCTTCGGCCTTCGGGGTCCTGGGATTGAGCCCTGTCAGGCTCCCTGTTCAGCTGGGAGTCTGCTTTTCCCTCTCTCTGTGCCCCTCCCCAACAACCGCTCATGCACGCTCTCTCTGAAGTAAATAAAATCTTTAAAAACTAAATTGAAATAATCACATGTGGCTAGTGGGACATTGGACAGTGCAGTTAGAGAATATTTCTGTCCTCAGCGAAGATTTATCAAGAAGATAGGCATTTCCTCCACCACCTAAGGGTTTATTCTCACCCTTGGAGAACCCTACTTTGTGAGGTTATGATAAAAAAGGATTGAAACACTAGTTTAAGTGGGTTGGACTGTTCTCACCATCAAGAATCATGGTATGGTTCATTTCTTCTGTAGCAAGAAGGTGAATGACTAAGGGTCTTCTAATGAAAAACAGGCTTTTTTTTTTTTTTTTTTTTTTTTTTGGACAAGTCAGTTGATGACTAAAAATTGCTTTTTGATATTAGATCTTAGTGTGTGTGTGATTTTTGGTAGTTAACTCAGGAGTTGAAACCATTGAGAGACTTAGCTGTAATGGAACTCCTTTTGTATCTACTTAATTATGAAAATGGGATTTCTCAGTATTTGCACCCCCAAAAAACTCAACAGAATTTACACTAAACTCTAACTTCCTAGTGGTAAGGAATATTCAGTTTAAGTAGATAACATAGGGGCGCCTGGGTGGCTCAGTGGGTTAAGTAGATAAACAAATGGGGGTTACCATTCATTTCACTAAGAAAAGTATTTACAAAATAATACATTCTTTTTTTTTTTAATTTTACTTATTTATTTGACAGAGAGATCACAAGTAGGCAGAGAGCGGGGAAACAGGCTCCCTGCTGAGCAGAGAGCCTGACACGGGGCTCGATTCCAGGACCCCGAGACCATGACCTGAGCCAAAGGCAGATGCCTAACCCACTGAGCCACCCTAACAGTTGTAATGATAACACGTTTTTTAATATTTTTATGGTCATGGGAATTAATAGAAAATTTACAGTTTTAAATTTGAATTTATATATATTTTTGTTGTGGAGAAGTATGATAGAGTGATCACTAAAAGTTTTCTAAGTATAAACTGTTGCATTAGAATAAAATTCTGTGCAGACAGTAGGATGAAATAAGAATTCCAAAATGTAAAATTTTTCCAGCTTTCATATCAGCATTCTCGTATTTTTTAAAATGTAGATGGTTGGGGCACTTGAGTGGCTCATTCTGTTGGGTGTCTGCCTTGGGTTCAGGTCCTGATGTCGGGTTCCTGGGATCGAGCTCCCTACGCAGCTGGGAGCCTGCTTCTCCCTCTCCCACTGCTGCTTCCCCTGCTTGTGCTCTCTCTATATATAACATACATATTTATATATAGATATACCTATATATATCACTATGTAATAAATATATATATAAGTATATATATAAGTATATATAAATAATAAAATCTTCAAAAAATAAAATGGAGATGGTCAGTATTAAATCACTATAGCATTTGAATTTCATTGTGTTCATGCAAAGGAGTGACAACAGTTCTAGGATAATATAATTTTTTAGTACTCTAGAAATTAAATCTTTAGCAACTTAAAAATATTCACAGAATTTTCAAGTCTACAAGTATAGGTGAGGGCGCCTGGGTGGCTCTGTCCTTAAGCATCTGCCTTGGGCTCGGGAATGAGTCCCACATCAGGCTCTCTGCTTTGCAGGAAGTCCAGTCTTCCTCTCCCACTCCACCTGCTTATGTTCCCTCTCTCACTGTGTCTCTCTCTGTCAAATAAGTAAATAAAATCTTAAAAAAAAAAATACAGGTGAAAAAAAAATTGAAGATCTGATCTAGTTCACTAAGCAGTTTTTCTTGTTTAAG